TTTTCATGTTCATGGTGATTTCTACATTGACAATCTAATAGACATGTGAGACACTGTGAGATGCCTTGTTTATTGTTTTTCTTTGGATTTTGTGTACTGGGTTATTTTTTCTGTACAATGTATGCAAAAATTCAATAAAAATATCTTTAAAAAAAAAAAAAAAATGTATCATGAGTTGTAGTTACTTTTAGCAGGGGTTCCCTGGGACGGAAGAGTTACTTGAAGGGAAAAGGTTGAGAAAGGCTGGTCTAGACAGAGATTACACAAAGCTGAGAGCTGTCTCTAGCAACATTAGGTCAATCAGAAAAACACCAGCACTGTTACTTAAGGTTCAGGTAAGTTGCACCTTGCCCTGTATGAACACAGCACAGGATCATAGAACTATGGAACTGCTAACTTACCTTTTCTCGAAGCAGTTTGTTTAAATGCTTCCTCTCACTGAATGAATTTTCAATGTGTAGCACACCTGCTCCCCCACTGCTCACTGTGGTTTCTCCCACCAGCTTTGTACATTGCTACAGGATATATGAGTAGGTGGAAGGAACTATTACGTGCCATGGGGGGGAAATAGGTACAGTGAAGGAAATAAGTATTTGATCCCTTGCCGATTTTGAATGTTTTCCCGCTCACAAAGAAATGATCAGTCTAAAAATTGAATGGTAGGTGTAACACAGAGACAGAATAGCAACAAAAAAAATTCAAAAGAAATGCAAGTCTAACAAATTATGCACGGATTTGCATGTTCACGAGGGAAATAAGTATTTGATCCCCTATCATTCAGCAGGATTTCTGGCTACCAGGTGTCTTTCATACAGGTAGCAAGCTGAGATTAGAAGCAGTCTCTTAAAAGGAAGTGCTGCTAATCTCATTTTGTTACTTGAATAAAAGACACCTGCCCACAGAAGCAATCAAACAATCAGATTGCAAACTCTCCACCATGGCAAAGACCAGAGAGCTGTCCAAGGATGTCAGGGACAAGATTGTAGACCTACACAAGGCTGGACTGGGCTACAAAACTATTGCCAAGCAGCTTGGTGAGAAGGTGACAACAATGGTGCAATCATTCACAAATGGAAGAAACACAAAACAACTGTCAGTCTCCCTAGGTCTAGTGCACCATGCAAGATCTCACCTTGTGGAGTGTCAATGATCATGAGAACAGTGAGGAATCATCCCAGAACTACACGTGCGGATCTTGTCAATGATCTCCAGGCAGCTGGGACCACAGTCACCAAGAAAACAATTGGTAACACACTACGCCGACAAGGATTGAAATCCTGCAGTGCATGCAAGGTCCCTCTGCTCAAGAAAGCACATGTCCAGCCTGTCTGCATCATTCAGATGTTCAGTGGCAAACTTCAGAGGAGGACTGGTTGAAAGTGTTGTGGTCAGATGAGACCAAAATCGAGCTCTTTGGCATCAACTCAACTCGCTGTGTTTGGAGGAGGAGGAATGCTGCCTATGACCCCAAGAACACCATCCCAACTGTAAAACATGGTGGTGGAAACATTTTGCTTTGGGGGTGTTTTTCTGCTAAGGGGACAGGACAACTGCACATCAAAGGGATGATGGACAGGGCAATGTACCGTCAAATCTTGGGTGAGAACCTTCTTCCCTCAGCCAGGGCATTGAAAACGGGTCGTGGATGGGTGTTCCAGCATGACAATGGCCCAAAACACACGGCCAAGGCAACAAAGGAGTGGCTCAAGAAGAAGCACATTAAGGTCCTGGAGTGGCCTAGCCAGTCTCCAGACCTTAATCCGATTGAAAATCTGTGGAGGGAGCTGAAAGTTCGAGTTGCCAAACATCAGCCACCAAACCTTAATGACTTGGAGAGGATCTGCCAAGAGGAGCGGGCCAAAATCCCTCCTGAGATGTGTGCAAACCTGGTGGCCAACTACAGGAAATGTCTGACCTCTATGATTGCCAACAAGGGATTTGCCACCAAGTACTAAGTCATGTTTTGTGAAGGATCAAATACTTATTTCCCTCATGAACATGCAAATCAGTTATTTGTTAGACATGCATTTCTGCTGAATTTTATGTTGCTATTCTGTCTCTCAGTGTTACGATACACCTACCATTCGATTTTTAGACTGATCATTTCTTTGTGAGTGGGCAAACATTCAAAATCAGCAGGGGAACACATACTTATTTCCTTCACTGTATGTGCAGGAAAAAAAAAAAATGCAATATTGCCACAACTGGCCCGTTAGCTGTCTGCCTGGCCTGCGATGCCTCCACTGTCAGCCCTTCAGCATGCCTCTGAGCCCCTCACTGAACTCAATGGGCGAGTTTGACAAGTCATGCCACTTGTCAAACTCTGCACTCCACCCCTCAAAGCAAAGAATTGGAGCCACAGCATGTAAACAGCCCTGTCCAGCTGTTATTTTACACTGCGAGTTGGCAGCTGGAGGGGCCCATCTAAAAGAGACCTATTTAATGAGCAGTTGAACCTATTACTCCTAGCTCCAGGTTATTTTCTATATGTTTACATACCAGATCCAAAATGAATATTGAGCAGAATTAAAGTGACACTAAAGCTTCGGTTTTCATTTTTAAATAACAAACATGTCTGCAGTTTTGCACAAAGCAGATCCTCTCCTTTTCCGGACCCCGCTGGCGCTTCTGGCTCCTCCTCCATAAGACGCAGAGCCTCAGCTTAGCAACGTGCCCCCCCCCATTGGTTCACTGGCTGTGATTGAGTCCCGCTGCTGATTCAGCCAATAAGGAGAAAGAGTCCCCAGACAGCAGCGGCTGTCGAGAACATCAGTGGATCGGAGGGGACTGGGGGGGAAGGGAGGCACTGCACAGTGGTTTTTTACCTTCATACACAGAATACATGAAGGTAAAAAAAACCCCTAAAACCTTAGAACCACTAACTCCCAGGCTCTCATGTGGCCCCTGGCCAAATCAATTGAACATCCCTGTATTATTGGATGTTTCAAGTAAAAGGAGGTTCAGTTCACCTCTTTCATGCCTCCAGTATACTATGGAGGCCACACACAGACGGCAAGCAAGAAGATAGATTCAAGCACCGCTGGCTGTGTATCTCTATGAATAAACCATTTGCTTACTGAAACATCAGAAAGGAAATATACAGGTGGGATATAACTAAGTACCTGGATCAATAATGTACTTTGGGGAAAAAAAAAAAATTGAAGTGGCGTGCAGCGCTCAAATTTGAATGTATTCTGGTTTGAGGAACAAGGACAAGCTTCGATGTCCACAGCACTCAGTAATCAAAGGCACATGCTTGAGAAGGGTTTACAGGTGGTTTAATATTTCTCTTCCCCCAACTATGTGGCATTTCAGGACCAAGCATTACCAACCATCAAAAGCATTGACTTGTATATTTAAAGATCTTACAGGCAACTGCAAAATCTCAGAGTCTGTTCAAGCATTTCAACACAAACCCATCTCAGGTAATTGTGGAGAAAGCTTTGAGCAAAATCTCCCATGTGTGACAATCTTCAATTAAAAACGTGAAGATTTGCTATGCAGGAAAAATTAGAAATTGTTAATGGTGTCTCATTATCCTGACAAATGTACTATTTGTTTGGAATTTGTTCTGAAATATATCAGTACATTTCCTGGCATGAGAGTGCACCTAGGCCACAAGTGTCAAACTGGTGGCCCTCCATCTGTTGCCAAACTATGTCCCATGAGGCATTTTAAGATTGACAGATACAAGCAGGACTCCCAAAGACACAGGTATGATGGAACTTGTAGTTTTGCACCAGTTTGACATCCCTGGCCTAGGCGCTTCAACACTGTATGTCTAAAGTGCGATATGGGGATGAACCTCTGGAGGAATCCAGAAAAAAGATCTGGGGGTCCTAGTGGATGACAGACTCAGCAACGACATGCAATGCCAAGCTGCAGCAAGCAAAGCTAGCAGAATATTAGCATGCATATAAAAGGGTAACTATAATCCTGCCACTTTATAAAAGTCTGGTTAGGCCACATCTGGAGTATGCTGTCCAGTTCTAGTCACCAATCCACAGGAAGGATATCCTGGAACTGGAGAGAGTCCAGAGAAGGGCAACAAAGTTAATAAGGGGACTGGATGACGTCAGTTACGAGGAATGACTACACTAAAAACGTATTCTTCCTGGAGAAGGGACGCTTGAGAAAAGATATGATAGCGATATACAAATACTTCAGTGGTGATTCTTGCATAGGAAATAAACTATTCAGTCTGAGGAAGCACAAGAAAACATAGGGTAACTCAATGAAATTGGTGGAGAAACAGTTTAGCCTTTAACTGCGTAGAGTGGTAAGGATGTGGAACTCAACTCCACAATTGGTGGTGTCAGCGGGAAGTACTGATAGTGTCAAAAACCTCTTAGATGAGCATCTTAGTGAGCACAATATACAGGGATATGGGATATGATCTTAGACATGAGCACATCCATCCACACAGGTTTAACTGGGTGTCTTTATTCAGCCTTACCAACTATGCAACCATATGTAACTATGATATCTAAGGGTCTGGTGACTGACTGCAAGTCTTAGGGGCTATGGAGTGAGATTTGGTAATGTCACTACTGTGCTGGAGGCTCTTACAAGAAGGAACAAAGCCCTGCCTCCACCAAGATGGCCACCTTCACAGAGAGACACAATGCTGAAAAAGGCATGGCAAATTCGATAACTGGGAAAAAGATCAGCTGCAAGGAAACCCAGGCAGCACTGGTGTCTAATCCTTTGCCTTCTGCCTGCTATTTTTTGGGTACAAGGGTTCAATTGCTCTTTAAAGCAGAAGGAAACTCAGCAGATCCCTGGTTACAAAAGTTAAGAAGCCACATGCCAAGCCCCCAAAATCATGTACAATTTTACTTCTGCTTTAAGGTGTGAAACAAATTAATGTAAGACTTCTCATATGCTGCTGGAATTGAGACCCAAACTAGACCACATAAAAGCCAAATAAATAAAATACCAAATAAAAACCTTGGATGATCATCCAGATGTCAGTGAAATGCTATAGAGGACTTTCTTACCTTGTGCCATTGTGGACATGACCAGGGATGGTGTTGAAGACACAACTGTGGTGACAGCAATGCCCCCTGTAGACAGAGAAGCGGACGGGGCATTGGTGGTGGTACTGCTAATGGCTGAGCTCTGGGCAGAGCTAACGACCATTGGTGGCTTCTGAGTGGTAGAAGTTATGACAGACGTGGGAACCAGTTTAGTGACTGCAGCGTAGTTGTGAGATTTCGATAAAATATTTGGGACAAATGTAGAACTTGGAGAAGTTGTTACAATTATTACCTGTTAGGAAATAAATAAAAAAGTTAAACTGTAAAGCAGCTATTGATTGTCATTTATTTCCGCTCAGGAAACCATGCAAGCCATGACTAGAGATGTTTACCTTCTGGGTGGAAGTGTTTGTTGTCTGGGTGGTGGGTTTGGTAAAAGTGATCTTCACTGGCGACATGTGTGGTGGTAGGGAGTTGGCGATGCTCTGCATGATGTTGCTCATTTTGGGGCTCCCGGTAACGGGCACTGCAATCGTTTTTGAGACTGGGGTTGTTGGCTTGGGGATATCTTTCAGGACAACAGGGGATGAGCTGTTGGAGTTGGTGCGACGGCGCTTGCGAGGCTTCTCGTCGTCATCTGAGCAGTTAACACCTGAAGGGGCAAATGTAATTATAATATTATTAACTCATTTATGAATCCAAAAAGACAGTGTGATCAGGCCCTGGTGGAAGTAGCCATACCCTAACTTGTGCTAAGTGGTATTAAACCCAAAGCACAGTGGCTAAATGGTTAGCACTTTCGCCTGGCAGTAGTAGGGTCGTTGTTTTGAATCCCAACCACCTTCCTGGAGTTTGCATGTACTCCCTGTGCCTGCGCGTGTTTCCTCCCACACTGTAAAGACATGCTGGCAGGTTAATTGGCTCCTGTCTAAAGTTGGCCCTAGTATGTGTATGTATGAATGTGAGTTAGGGACCTTAGACTGTACACCCCTTGAGTGTTCGGGATTGATGTGAATGAGAGATATATATATATATATATATATATATATATATATATATATATATATCTGTGCAAATTGATGGCGCCATACAAGTACCTGTAATAATAATGTAATATATTGCAGCTTACTAATAATTAGATGTGGTGGCTGCATCAATATTCTTTTCCTATGCTTTTTTGCTTCTGTTCTCACCTTGTGATCTGGCCAGTAACATCTCCTGTATGAGTGCACCCACTCTGAATGAATGAGCCCAGGGGGCACCTTTTGACAGCAGCATTGTCAGTCTGTGGGGGGAGGGCTACTAGCCAAACTCCTGCTAACGCTTTATAAGCAGTTACAGAAAACAGTTTTTACACAAGTAAAAGCTGGTCGTGTGATCAAGTGTTAAATGGTTTGTCTGTCCCTGTAACAACATTCTGCTACAGAGATTGTTCTATTGAAAAAGAACAGACTTACTAGCTGGATCGCCAGATGAAAATAAAAGATACAACACATAGAAAACAAATGCGGCCATCACATCTAAGAATTGGTGAGCTGCAATACAACAAATGTTTGCTTTAAGAGTTCCAGGGCGGAAATTAGTTTAGCACCTGTGTTTCAGAACTAAATTGAATGGTACATAAAACCAAAAACATATATATAATATACTGTAGATTACTACGTGGTGGCTGCTTTTTATTCATCTTCTTTCTTTCTTTTTGTGGGTATAGGATTATAACTTTTTTTTTTTAAATTGTTGAACTGGATGGACTGTTGTCTTTTTTTCAGCCAGACTAACTATTTTCACCTGGTGATTCTGCACTAAGACACTTCCTGTCTTAGTGTGACAACACTCATCTTACTGTATCTGGAGGAGGAACGTTGTCATTCTAGGAGAGGACTACAGAACACCATCCCATCTAGTCTTCTCCATAACAAAGGGAGTGGTATTCTGTAGTTTACAGACAAGGGGACAATCTATCCAATAACACTGCAGCACAGGAAGTTTTCAACTCACAAAATTTTGGCAAGATGAACAGGTATTTTCATAATTATTAAACAGACAGAACAAAACGATTTAAATTGTATATTTAAAAGACCAAAAAAGAACAAATAAGAAAAGTTCGATATTAGCGTTTCCATACACTTTAAGCATGAGAGTCAAGGGATGGCTGCTTCCATCAGTCTACTCAAACTCATTTTGCTCTGAATCAGGAACCTATAGCCTGTAAACAAAACCTCATGCCAAAGCCATAAAGTTTTTCAGAATGATGAATCAGTTTGAAATATTGCTTTCCATGAGAAGCAGAACAATGGCAAAAGATCATAATACTTCGGAAAGTGGTTTGAACTTGGCTGCAAAAGAGGTCACCAATTCTTAGTTGTCTGAGCGTTCTAAAGAGAACATAAACTTAGCTGATAGGGGAGAGATCTTTCCTTTACGGTTGTGTTCCCATTGGGGAGACTTATCCATCACTTCCCATAAAGTAGATGCTGCCCCTGGCTGTATGCAAAGATGATGCCAGCCTTCTCTATATGAAAACAGATTAAATCTAGGTTCACACCTATTCAGGTTGCCTGTGATCTGTTTCTGCAAAACTTTTTGCGGTGCGTTTTGCGTTTTTGCACTTGCGTTTTTTCATTTTGTTTTTATTTTTCTTGTTATTAGGCAGATTTTAAAATGCATGTGGCATTTTAAAAATGTGGCAAAACCGTAATACATGCTTTTCTGCAGCATTCCCACTGAAGTCTATAGAACCAAAAACGCAACATTTTGCATTCAAAAGTCCCTGACCCTTTCCAAAAAATGCACCGGGTGAAAACACACAGGTGAGAACCGGTTCCATAGGAAATCGTGTTACATGGACTGTACTGCGTTTCTGCAAAACACTGCGGAAAACGCTTACGTGTGAACCCAGGGGTCTATTTACCACAAGGCAAACAAGGCATTTGCCTAGGGCGGCATTTTTCAGGGGGGCAGCACTTCCCCTCAGAAGACAGGATGGAAGAAGGGACACTCCCAGCATGGGGACCTGGTGGGTTCTGAGAGAGGCTGCGGGTTTCATGACAGTGTATGCACAGCCCGACTCTCATTCCTGGGGATGTCCGGAGATGTGGAGGTGTCTCTCTCTCTCACCGTGGGGGATGGTGGCTGGCTGGCAGTGGTAATGGAAGGCTCTCTCAGGTGGGGGGCAGGGGTGTTGTTGGTCAATATCAGGCTCTCTCTGTGGCGGGGGGGCGCCAATTTTTGTGTTGCCTAGGGCAGCACACAACCTAAATACACCCCTGTGTGAACCTAGGGTAAGGCGTTTTTAGGGGAAGTTCTGTGATCTCTGTGACAGATAATCGAGGTAATTGTACTTTCGAGGTTAAAAAAATACAGCGAAGAAAAAAAATTTATATAGTATATACAATTGTGACATGAGCCATATTGTAATATAATGGGTGTTCCTTTTCAATGTGCAGTGCTGAATTTTTCTGTAAAATGCATGTACAAAATGTACACAGATGGTATACAGAATTCCCCCCAGAAAATCCATTTTGCAGCTTGTGTAATTGACTCACTGATTTTCCTTGAAGTCTGCACTAAGATACAAATCAGATTTTAAGCAGGGTGGATAAAAATCAATGATTTAAAAAAAAAAAAAAAAAAAAAAAAAAAAAAAAAAAAAAATCGGATTTTTTTTTATTTAAACGTTTTTTTTTTTTTTCAAATCGGATTTTTTTTATTTAAACGGGTTTTTTTTTTTTTCAAATCAGATTTTTTTTATTTAAACGGTTTTTTTTTTTTTTCAAATCGGATTTTTTTTTTTATTTAAACGGATTTTTTTTAATTTAATTTTTTTTTTTTTTCAAATCGGATTTTTTTTATGTAAACGGTTTTTTTTTTCAAATCGGATTTTTTTTTTTATTTAAAATCGGATTTTTTTTAAATAAAATGCTTTTTGGAGGAAAATATATTACCATCCAAAGGTTATTCCATCATGAAATAAAGATTAGTTTTTTAATTATGTAGAATAAGGCTGTATATGTTTAATGTTTTTGGTAAATAAATTCCATGAATCCATTCACAATGTCATGCTCTTCCAGAGGTTTCTGTAAGATTATTGGGCAGTTTCTCTGCCTACAAGATATTATCACAGATGATTGGTTTACTTTTGCAGTTCTCAAAACTGAATTTGACTCAGCGGAGATCACATGCCTCTTCTTCACAGCAAAAATGTTATAACATGAACAGAGTTAAGAAAAAGACCTTCATCCTAACTTCTACAAACCTATGAATACAGAATCAACCCCTTCAGTGCTAAGTTTCAAGAAGTTCAGTGAATAGAAACAATATTTTTCTGATTGTTTGGAGTGGAATAGATCTGCACAAGAAGAAAGTGAAACTAAGTGTGAGGAGGAAGGGGCTGACAGTCTAACTAATTTGGCAAAACAAAATATATATATTTTGTTTAGCCAAATTAGTTAACAAACATGGATGTTTAAGCAAATCACATATGCTGGAAGGTTATTGTTTCAGATGAATAAATCTATTTAAATTGTTATTATTAAGGTAATGATTATTTTTCTCCTTCCTAAGTACAACAGAAAAGTTGTCCAAATATGAATGATTAACCTATTAAACTGGGGATAAAAAAACTAATATGAAAAGTTGTTATTCTAAAAATCTTCATCTACTTGTATATTAAAGTTATACCAGCAAGAATTAGTCTTTATGTAGAAAACTAGGATTTAAATCAAGCCTTACTGACTAGTGATTTAAATCGGGATTTAAATCAGTTTGATTTAAATCAAATCCACCCTGATTTTAAGCATCCTCTGCAACAACAAATTCAGTTTTGGATGAGATACCCCCAAAGGGTTAATGACGTGTAAGGGGATTCAGACCCTGCCGCTTTCCTCATTAGAACCCTGTGAGTGCAGCAGCTGATGAAGAATGGAAAGGTCACACTCATTCACAAACACTTTGCGCATGCACACAGACCAACAGCTATTACTTTAGAACAACAAAAAGGTAGGAATCTGCAACAAAAGTTTGTTAAAGCTGAACTCCATCTTTTGTTCCACTTTACATAGTTCATTTCAGCTAGCTTGGCCCAAACTAACCATGTCCCTCACTAACATCTGAGGCCGCTGTATAAACTGAATGAAGCGGAGGCTACATACCGCATACAACACGGTGTTCCGGCCCAAGCCGAGACCTTCTTGTCTCAGACCCCGAACACAACAGTCTGCCGGAGCGGCGTTCAACCATTCAGAGAAAGTCATGTAGTCTATCAATGAATACAAAGCTTCCTCTGATTAGACGAGTCAGAAAGGCGGGCTGATGATGTCACAACTTCTGACTCAATCAAAAGAAGCTTTGTATTCATCGATAGAATACATCGTTTTCTCTGAATGACAGTATGGACAACAACAGGTACTACAAATCTTCACTTACTTTTCACATAGACTGTGCTGCCGCTGGGAAGGACCACCACGTTGGAGGCTGGACTCGCAGGTCGGGGAGACTTGACAGTGGCCACACTTCCACTGGGGACCGGGGTCGATGTGGGAGTGGATGTTGTACTTGTGTAGGAATAACACACGACCACTACAGAGAGAACAGAGGCTGCTCATTAGTTGATGCCTAAATGCATATTTCCACTTCAAAAGGTTTTCAATAAAAAAGGCAAACAGTTAAACTGGCCGATAAAATACAAAAAAAAAATACAAAAGCTGTTTTACCTGCCAAAAGATTTGTATTTTTGTCCATCCAGTCTAGAGATTTAAAGGATAAGTTCACCTTTGGGAACATGTTACATATTCCACCCGTTCCCACCACTGCAGCTGGTCCGCCCAATTCCCCCCCACCCCCGTGACAGCCATACTGGCAGTAGTTACCCTTACCAGCTGTCACTTTTTGAAAATTGTGCAGACGTGCGGGGCTCCGCCCACACGGCGACATCATTCATTCACAAAGTTCAGTGAATGAATGAATTACAAGTCCCGGCTGTGTTAGTTCATTGAGTCTTCCTATCAGACTGTATTTGCCGGATGTACAGGCACACAGATACACTGACTGTTTGCAGGAGTCCTGCATTGCACCAGCAATCAGCAATGCTTTCAAGGTTTAAAAAAACAAAACAAAAAAAAAAAACGTAAATGCACATGTCTGTGCAGAGTGCGCTGTCACACTCTGAATGACAATTGCCTGGTCATGAAACACTGCACCCAAATGACATTTTTTTCACACAAATGGAGCTTTCTTTTTGTGGTATTTAACCGCCGCTGGGAGTTTTTATTTTTTGCGCTATAAACAAAAAAAAAAGCAAAAATTTTGGAAAAAAAAAAAAAAGTTTCTTTGTTTCTGTTATAAAATTTTGCAAACAAGTAATTTTTCTCCTTCAGTGTGCCTTGATGAGGCTGCACTGATATGCAACAATTATGGGCACTAATAGGTGGCACTGCTGGGCACTTATCAGGGCACTGATCATCATTGCCCTGATGATAGGTGCCGACCCCTCCTCTGACAATTGCTGGTTATCGGCAGTACTTTCCTCACGCTGTGACAGCGTTGCAGCCGTGGCATGTGTACAAACCTGAATGTTGCCTTCCCGGCTAAAGGGGGAGTGGTTGAGGGAGTGGCAAAAACACAACCCAAGCATTACTGCTCCCCCAACCGCACGTGGAAACGAGTCCTAAAGGCCTACAAAAATGTCAATAATAATAGTATACATTTATTATCTCATTCATAAAGTATTCAGACCCCTTCACTTTTTTCAATTTTGTTTTTTGGCAGCCTGATACTACAGCTGTTCGCATTCATTTTTTTTCCTCATCAATCTACACTTAGTACCCTATAATGACAAAGCGAAAACAGAATTTTAGAAATGTCAGCGAAATGTATTAAAAATAAAAAAACTGAAATATCACATTGGCAGAAGTACATACATACCCACACATCTATATATATCTCTATATCTATCTACATATCTATATACACACACACACATATACACACACACATACCTCAGTCCCAACTACAAACACTGCTGAACAATGTCACACATAAAAACATAATAATAATAATATCAAAGAATAAAAGAAGATACCACCTTCCTCACCTTCCTTGTTCCCAGTCTCAGCAGGATCTGGAAGTGAAGAGTTGTGCTGTCCAGCAGCATTGGCTATGGCGTTGGCAGTGGCCGTGAAAGCAGTCTGTGGAACCAGACGTGGCATCAACGGTACCAATCTCCGACCTTCGATGGACCATTCAGACGAACTGTTTGGACCAGACATGCTGGAAAATGCAGGACAAATAGCACAAAAATAATAGTGCGTACTACAAGCACACTTTACAGCACACCTTGCAGAAATAAGCAAGATCAGCTTAAAAAAAAAGCCCCCTCCCCCATATTATTTTACATCATGAATGTTAAAAAAAAAAAAAAAATTGCACTTCTCTTATTCTTGGCTTCCAACCGTGGCACTTAGGTGAATAGTCATCCTTCCAGCAAGATCCTGGGAAATGCCATGCATCACAAATTTAATGAGATATAGAGCAGTCAGCATTTTGCAGGATCTCGCAAGGAGGATGATGATGTGTACAGATCCTGGGAGTAAGGGTGCCTTCACATTGTCGTGCTGTGGTGTGGTTTGGCCTGCATGCTGCATCTTTGGTGTGCTTCCAGAAAGCGGATCAAAACATGCGCAATCTAATCTGTGGGAAAACCATGAGTACACTGCGGTGCAGCCAATATATAGTGTATCTATAGCTTTTTTTTTTTTTTTTTTACGTTAAATGCTAAAATGCTATAATCCCTGTCAGCTTTTTATTGTTGTAGGTGTACTGTTGTGGATTTTTCCTCACTTCGTCTGGTAAAACATTGTCCCCAAGAACAAAAAGTCAGCTGCATAAGAGCTGGGAGAGAAGAAGAACCTAAGCTTCCCAGTGATTGGCTGTGCAGGAGGTTGGGATTTAGGATAAGTCTGATCATTGGAGGCAAGCAGGCTGAGTTCCCAGCACAGCTAGAGAACTGACCACAGTGTGCTGTCCTCCTTGGCGTGGTCAGTAGGAAAGCAGAGGGATTGGCTGAAACACTAGGGATTTCACACAAAGAGCAGCATCCTTTTTTATACAAGTACATGGTACAGCAGGGCACATCAGGAATATGAAATGTTAGATTTACATATTCTTTAACCACTTGCCTACCGGGCATTTTCATATTTCAGCGCTGTTGCATTTTGATTGACAATTGCGCGGTCATGCAAGAGTGTACCCATATGAAATTTTTTATGATTTTCTCACAAATAGAGCTTTCTTTTGGTTGTATTTAATCGCCGCTGGGCACTTTACTTTTTGAACTATAAACAAAAAAAGTGCAAAAAATTTTGAAAAAAAAAAAAGTTTTTTGTTTCTATTATAAAATTTTTCAAACAGGTAATTTTTCTCCTTCACTGATGTGCGTTGATGAGGCAGCACTGATGGACACTAATAGGCGGCACTGATAGGCAGCACGGTTAGAAAGCACTGATAGGTGACACTGATTGGCATCACTGCTGGGCACTGACAGGCATCACTGCTGGGCACTGACTGGCGCAACTGCTGGGTGGCACAGGTGGGCGGCACTGCTGGGCAGCAATCATCAGAGCACTGATCATCAGTGCCCTGATCATCAGTGCCGATCCCTGCTCTGACAACTGCTGGTTCTCGGCAGTACTTTCCTCACGCTCTGGCAGCATGAGGAAAGTGCAGCCGAGAACTGGCAATTGCATTTCCCGGTGATCAGCGTGTCATTGGACACGGCTGATCACGTGGTAAAAGGCTGCTGTGATTGGCCTTTTACCACATCACATGATCACCTGTGTCCGTAGGGGGCGCGCAGGAGAGCGCGTTCTGGGAGGACGTCATATGACGCCCTCCCAGAACTGGCCGGCCGCAGTGTAGCTGTCATTCGGCTATCTGCGGTTGGCAAGTAGTTAAAAACATCCAGAACAGATGCTTCCCCCCATACGGATGGGAAATTCCATTTGTACAGGGGATGATGGGAATTTAATATAAAGATATGATGCAGTTTACAGTAAAAAAAATAACTGAACAAAATTAGAGCAGAATATAAATCAAGAGAGCTTTTCTATTTGACCAAGTCTTACTTGTGAGCGATGGTGGTAAGGCGCTCATCGTTCACTGCTCTGCGCACCTCCGCGCGATGCCGCTCTGTAGAAATACTAACGAAAAATAGAAACTGTTATACACTTAGGTTGAAGAGGACCAGACAAACTAGAACATCTTAATCGTCTGCATGATCAGGCAAATCATATAAACAAAAATCAAATCTGTACTACAGCTGCATAAATATTCACTGACCTGGTAAAGTGATAATAAAGCTTTAACAAAAAAGCAAATATGTCATAATTACCTGCTCTGTGCAATGGTTTTGCACAGAGCAGACCTGATCCTCCTCTTCTCCGTTCCCCTTTCAACGCTCCTTGCTCCTCCTCTCCTCCGAGTGCCCCCATAGAAAGCAGCTTGCTCTGGGGGCACTCATGCGTGCGCTCTCACGAGTCGCCTCTGTGTGTGTAAGACACACAGAGCGGGCTTGGCCCCTCCCCCGCACCCTCTCTCACTGGCTGTGATTGACGGCAGCCAATGGCTCCCGCTGCTGTCTCCCGCTGCCATTGAAGAGGCAGAGACCTGGAAGACCAACAGCTCTTGTGCACAGCGCTGGATCAAGATCAGGCTCAGGTAAGTAAGCTGCATGCTGAAGTTTTTTTTACCTTCATGTACAGAATACATAAAAGGTAAAAATCCTTCAACCTTTAGAACCACTTTAGTGCATAGAATACATTAAAGTTAAAAAAAAAAAAAAAAAACACACAAACACAAAAACAAAGGCTTAAGGCTTTAGAACCACTGGATTTAAAAAAAACACTATTGAAAACAAATTGATCTAATTGAAAATGTTATAAATTCATGTTGATCAGGGGAGGGGAGGAAACAAGGAAAGATATATGCATATAATATACTTCAGCTTTAATACAGTCTATGGAAACTGACCACAGGACTTTTGAAAGTTCCCCCAGAAGGTCCTTCTTCTCTTTGCTGAGATCGCCCTGTGCTCGAAGGGCACTGATAACGCCTGCATACGCCTCCAGCTCTGACAAAACAAAAACATAAATCAAAGCTGTAGATCACACATCCATTAAAATGCTCAACTGTGCTCTCTTGCAGCATCCTGCGCCTACTCCCCGGACTGTGTCCTCACACTGCTAACATCCTTCCTGAACACCTCCCCCTCTCAGTCTCTGGTGCCTGAAAGCATTAGGCTGGCAGTACTATAAAGCAGGGCTTAAAAGTTCAAGTCCTGAGCTACTAGCCAGGACTTAAGAGTTACTCGCCACCAACACATACACACATGTACATACACACACAGAAACATGTACATACACACACACAGAAACATGTACACACACAGACATGTACATACACACAGACACATGTATACACACACAGGCACGTACAGTCACGCATACACACAGATACATGTACATACACAGAAATACACACGCAGACACATGTACATACATACACAGACACATACATACACACAAACACACACACATACATACATGTACAGTTGTGTTCAAAATAATAGCAGTGTGTTGAAAAAAGTGAATAAAGCTGAAAATCCTTCTAATAGCTTTTATTTCCATCCACACAAATGCATTGGGAACACTACACATTCTATTCCAAATCAAAACATGAAGAAAAATAGATCAAATTTGTGTTGTTCCTCTAAAAAAATTGAAGAAAAGTGAATATTAGACGGTTCAAAAAAATAGCAGTGTTTGTATTCTTCTTTACAAACTCAAACATTCACTATATAAACTGAAAAATGTTTGAAGATTTTGCTTTCCTTTGAATGACTTAATGAATATTTGGTTGTAGTCGCACTGTTTCTGAGAACTGCTGTACATCTGTGTTGCATGGAGTCACCCAACTTCTGGCCCCTGTGATCAGGTATTCCAGCCCAGGATGATTGGACTACATTCCACAGTTCTTCTCTATTTCTTGGTTTTGCCTCAGAAACTGCATTTTTGATGTCACCCCACAAGTTTTCTATTGGATTAAGATCCGGGGATTGGGCTGGCCACTCCATAACGTCAATCTTGTTGGTGTGGAACCAAGATGTTGCACGTTTACTGGTGTGTTTGGGGTCGTTGTCTTGGTGGAACACCCATTTCAAGGGCATTTTTCTCTGCAGCATAAGGCAGCATGACCTCTTCAAATATTCTGATGTATTCAAACTGATCCATGATCCCTGGTATGCGATAAATAGGCCCAACACCGTAGTATGAGAAACATCCCCATATCATGATGCTTGCACCACCATGCTTCACTGTCTTCACAGTGTACTGTGGCTTGAATTCAGTGTTTGGGGGTCGTCTGACAAACTGTCTCCGGCCACTAGACCCAAAAAGAACAATCTTACTTTCATCAGTCCACAAAATGTTGCGCCATTTCTCTTTAGGCCAGTCAATGTGCTCTTTGGCAAATTGTAACCTCTTCAGCACATGTCTTTTTTTCAACAGTGGGACTTTGCGGGGGCTTCTTGCAGATAGCTTGGCTTCACATAGGCGTCTTCTAATTGTAACAGTCCTCACAGGGAACTTTACACCTTCTTTCATCTTCCTGGAGCTGATTGTTGGCTGAGTCCGCGCCATTTTGGCTATTCTTCTATCCATTCGAATGGTAGTTTTTCGTTTTCTTCCACATCTTTCAGGTTTTGGTTGCCATTTTAAAGCATTTGCGATCATTTTAGCTGAGCAGCCCATCATTTTCTGCACTTCTTTATATGTTTTCCCCTCCCCAATCAACTTTTTAATCAAGGTACGCTGTTCTTCTGAACAATGTCTGGAACGACCCATTTTCCTCAGAATTTCAGAGAGAAATGCACTGTAACCAGCATGTACAACATTTGCTGCCTTCCTTCCTTAAATAAGGGCAATAATTGCCACCTGTTTTTCAAAGAATGAATGACCTCACTAATAGAACTCCACACTGCTATTATTTTGAACATGCCCCTTTCAATGAGTGATTCAATGACACAGAATCAGCAGCATGCATGTCATGACTGTTGGGTCTGTTGGATTTCTATTACTCTACTACACCTCCTAGTAAATTATTTGCCATGTAGAAATATCATTTCTACCAAAAACAGTGATTGATCAGGTTAGTGGTGTCTAACTGCTATTATTTTGAACACAACTGTACATACACGCAGACACATGTACAATTGTACATGCATACACAGACACACAAACACCCCCCCCCCCCATAAAAAGTTGCAGTACTTTGTAGTTCACTCACAGATCCAGGTACTGCACTCTAGGGGGAGGCAGAGAGCACAGCACACACTCATTGCTCTGCTTTCACTGCGCTCAGCTATTGAGCAGTCTGACGGCTGCCAGTGCCAATGACAGAACCAGCATGAGCTCTGAGCCTGCCCAGCCAAACGGCCCTGGGGGACACACTCGCCCCCACCATATTCTCCACTCGCCATTGGCGAGCAGGCAAGTGGAAATTTCAAGCCCTGCTATAAAGCATGGATTGTGTTTGGGTCACATTTATTTTTGACCAATCGCTAGAATATTCCACATGAGATCTATGACAGAGGTGTATTACAAAGAAAAAAAAAAACAAAAAAAAAAAAAAAAAACAACAATACCACAGTTGGGCTTTAAGAACCCCATGCCCCTTAGAATACGTGCAATACTCACCTTTAATTCTGAGCTGTCATCTGCAGTACCTCTTTGCCACAAGATACCCTCAGTCTACCTCGTTGAATGACACCCAGTGTCACCTGGAAGTCTACTGAAAAACTAAGTATAAGGCATAATGGCCCCTCCCCCTGACCACAGCACTCTGCACTCACACAGCATGTAGATGCCGAGCGCTGGATGTCATCTTGTTAGTACTACTCTCTGCATCAATCAGGACTGCTCACCACAGGGAAAAGCCGGAAGAAGACCAATCACATCATGTGTCCAGATGAAAGACATTAGAAAATGTTAAAAAAAAAAAAAAAAAAAAAAAAAAAAAGGGAGGCATAAAGTACCACTGGGGCCTCAAGAGATGGCCACTGGAGGCGAAGGGCCCAGGGCCTAAAGTTGGTCCTTTTTTGAGACTTCTGTGATAACACCCCCCCACCCCCGCTGGTTCTCATACTCTTCTGCTGCTTCTGGGGGGCTAGGACCACAACAAACAGCATCAGGATGGTGACGGGAAAACACTGATAAACATGTCCTACCTGATGTCCTGTGTAGGGTGTAAATATGGAAGTACTCAGCTTTGAGCACTTCCAGGTTCAGATTTTTCAAAATCCCAGGTAGAAAGCTGGGTGCATGGCTGATTGAGCACAGCCATGTACTTGTTAGGCTAGAGCAGAGGGCAGGAGAGACATTAGGAGTCTAGCAGACTCCTGATGTCTCTATAAAGAGGACCTGTCATCCACCTAATGCTATCACATAGAAGGCTTGTTAGTCAGTGAGAGCCCGTTCTCCTTAGAGGCAGTGTCAGGAGAAAGTGAGAACCTGAAGGGAAGTGTGGTAGAAGTAGAAACTGCCCTCCTCCCTAAAAGGCAAAAGCTTTAGCAAAATATCAGCAGTCACATCACCAAATTAAAAAAAAATTTTTTTTATATATATATATATATATATATATATATATATATATACACACATATACACATACATACACACATATATATATATATATATGGCACTGCACATCGCCCCAAAGAGACCATACCAACAGTGAAGCATGGAGGTGGGAACATCATGGTGTAGGGCTGTTCTTCACCATACAGTACTGGCAAACTTCATGTAATTGAAGGAAGGATGAATGGAAAAATGTACCAAGACATTCTTGAAAAACATCTGCTGCCACTTACCACGATGATGAAGATGGAATGAGGGCGGACATTTCAGCAAGACAATGATCCCAAATACAAAGCCAAGGAAACTCTCAATTGGTTTCAAAGAAAGAAAAGAAAGCTATCAGAATGGCCCGGCCAATCACCTGACTTAAATCCAATAGAAAATTTATGGAAAGAACTAAAAATCCTTAGATTGAAGAACCTTCAAGATTTGAGAAAACTGTGTGGAAGAATGGGCCAAAAATCACACCTGAGCAATGCTTGTGACTAGTTTCTAATACTGGAGGTGTCTTGAAGCAGTTATTACCATAAAAGGATTTTGTACGAAATATTAAATAAATTTCAGTTAGCGTGTTCAATACTTTTTCCCTGTGTCATTCCATTTTATTACACATAACTTAATTTCTGAACGTATTTGTTTTGGTTTCTTTGTATGTATGGATTGCAAGGATTGTTGTTGACATGGGGTGAAAATTTCATGTCAATACCACCTTTAGAAATAGATTTACTACAAAAAAAAAGTGTGTGTTAGAAGCACTAAACTGATACGAGGCATGGAGGAGATCAGCTATGAGGAAAGATTAGAGGAACTGAATTTATTCTCTCTTGAGAAGAGGAGATTAAGGGGGGATATGATCTCCATGTATAATACACAAGGGGGGATATGATCTCCATGTATAATACACAAGGGGGGATATGATCACCATGTATAATACATAAGGGGGGATATGATCTCCATGTATAATACATAAGGGGGGATATGATCTCCATGTATAATACACAAGGGGGGGATCATGATCTCCATGTATAATACACAAGGGGGATATGATCTCCATGTATAATACACAAGGGGGGATATGATCTCCATGTATAATACACAAGGGGGGATATGATCTCCATGTATAATACAAGGGGGGGATATGATCTCCATGTATAATACACAAGGGGGGATATGATCACCATGTATAATACATAAGGGGGGGATCATGATCTCCATGTATAATACACAAGGGGGGGATATGATCTCCATGTATAATACACAAGGGGGGGGGGATATGATCTCCATGTATAATACACAAGGGGGGGATATGATCTCCATGTATAATACACAAGGGGGGGATATGATCTCCATGTATAATACACAAGGGGGGATATGATCTCCATGTATAATACACAAGGGGGGATATGATCTGCATGTATAATACATGTATCTGCATGTG